ATAAATAGATAGATAAATAGATAGATAAATAGATAGATAAATAGATAAATAAAAAGACAGGCATGATGGGCTGAGTATGGTGGCACATGCCTTTAATCCCAGCACTTGGGAGGCAGAGGCAGGTGGATCTCTGAGTTTGAGGCCAGTCTAGTCTACAAAGTGAGTCCAGGACAGTCAGGGCTCTGTTACACAGAGAAACCCTGTCTAGAAAAAAATAAACAAAACAAAACAAAAATGACAGCCATGATAAGGGAGTATCCCAGCACCTTCCTATCTGTTCCTCCTTTGACAGACACTGCTAGGAAATTCTAAAGGCCACTGCAATCAGGAACTACTAGAAAATGGTGGTACCCATCCTCAGCTGTCCCTAGTCCTCTACTCTCAGCCCTGACTCTTCCTTACACCTATAATGGTCAAGCCAAAGGTGAGGCTTCTTATTCAGGTGAGACCTGAGGGCCATGTGACATGCCTGAATTCCAAGGCCTGTTACTTGTGAGCCATATTCCCCCTTTTCCTTTCCTATCCCTGGAAGAAGGAAGAACAGTCTATCCAAAGCCAGCCTCAACACCTGGGCAGGGAATCTGCTTCTTGGACTTGTCTGGAATACATCCAGGCTTTTCTTCTCTGTATTTCTGCTCTCTCCCTCATCTCCCTATAGAGGTATGCCCTGAGTCCTCAGATAGACCTTTGCTTCTCCTTCTCCCCTCTCTCTCCTAAACCAATCAGTTCTTAGTTTTTCCATTGACAACTACATCAGTAGAAAGACCATGTTTGTCATATAGTAGTGTCTGCTGTCATTGTTTAGATGAAGATCAAAGATAAGACAGAGGAACTAGAAGGAAAGAAAAAGCATGAGGCATACCTAAGAAAGGGAAAGGGAAGGGAGAGAGAAGAGTGAAGGTTGGGGAAGGTAAGAGACAGTCTCACAGAGTGACCTCTGCACAGTTACATGGAAAACTCCTCCCCCAGGCATAACAGCCTCACAGATACCTACCACACCCACACAACCAGACTCTCTCTCTCTCTCTCTCTCTCTCTCTCACACACACACACACACACACACACACACACACACACACACACACATTCTTTAGTGCAGCCCCAAGTATTTTCAGAGGCAACCTGGAGTTCCATAAGGAGCTGCCTACAGTACTTAGTACTGTGTTTGGACAGGAGGGCATGGGCTTTGGAGTTCAGGGATGGCGGGGCTCAGAGAATTTACAGAGCCCCTTTGCCAAAAAAGTTCAACTTGAGCATTTCATTATTTAGAAAGTTTCATTGCTAAATTATTAGCTATTTTGAAACTATCAGCTTAAGCTGTGTGGTAGCCTCCATGTATGTAATCCTAGTTCTCAGAAATCTGAGATAGAAGTTTTACTTCAAATCCAAGGGTAGCCAGAGCTACATATCAAGTACCAATGCCCCAAAAGGTTGTATAGCAAGACCTTCCAACATACACACACACACACACACACACACACACACACACACACACACACAAAACTACTCAGCAGCTTAAAATTAAAAATCATATAGAGGAAAATGTCTTCTAGTGATAACAGTATCCTAGCCCCAGTCACTGGTCTGTCTGTTTTACCTCTGTGACCCCATTCCATCCTCCAAATAGCCCTAGAAAATAGGTATTATTAGCTCCACTTCACAGGTCAGTAAACCAAGGCCCTGAAGGGTTTAGTAACTTATCCCAGCATATATTCTATGTTCTGTGTGATTTCAGTCTCACAGTTGCAAGCAAGAACTATACATGTAAGATATATACGGCCTAAAAGTCTAAAAAAGGTATATCTGTATCCTAAAAAAAAAAAAAAAAAGTATATTTGTGTACATGTACAGAA